TATCTATGCCCGGAACACAGGAGCAGCCAATTATATAAGCCAATCAATAACAAAATCAAAGAAACACATCAACAATAATACAATAATAGTACAGGACTTTAACACCCTGCTCACTAAAATGGACAGATCATCTAAGCAGAAGATCAACAAGGAAATAAAGGCTTTGAATGACACACTGAACAAGATGGACATCCACATATATTCAGAACATTCCAACCCAAAGCAACAGAATACACATTCTTCCCTAGTACACATGGAACATTCTCCAGAATAGATCACATCCTGGGTCACAAATCAGGTCTCAGCTAGTACCAAAAGAAGGGATCATTCCCTGCATATGTTTAGACCACAGTGGTTTGAAACTAGAACTCAATCACAAAGGGAAAGTTGGAAAGAACTCATATATGGAGGCTAAAGAGCATCCTACTAAAGAATGAATGGGTCAACCAGGAAATTAAAGAAGAATTGAAAAAATTCATGGAAACAAATGAAAATGAAAAAAACAACTGTTCAAAATCTTCAGGATGCAGCAAAGGTGGTCCTAAGAGGAAAGTATATAACAATACAAGCCTTTCAAAAGAAACAGAAAGGTCTGAAATACACAATCTAACCTGACACCTAAAGGAACTGGAGAAAGAACAGTAAATAAGGCCTAAACCCAGTAGGAGAAGAGAAATAATAAAGATCAGAGAAGAAATCAATGAAGAATCTATAAAGAACTTATCAAATTCAACACCCCAAGAACAAATAATCTAATCAAGAAATGGGCAGAGGACATGAACAGACATTTCTGCAAAGAAGACATCCAGATGGCCAAGAGACACATGAAAAAGTGCTTGACAGCACTCGGCACCAGGGAAATACAAATCAAAACCACAGTGAGATACTACCTCGCACCAGTCAGAATGGTTAAAATTGACAAATCAGGAAATGACAGGTATTGGCAAGAATGCAGAGAAAGGGGAACCCTCCTACACTGTTGGTGGGAATGCAGGTTGGTTTTCATTATGGAAGACAGTATGGAGGTTCCTCAAAAAGTTGAAAATAGAATTACCCTATGACCCAGCAATTGCACTACCGGGTATTTACCCTAAAGATACAAATGTAGTGATCCAAAGGGGCATGTACACCCCAATGTTTATAGCAGCAATGTTCACAACAGCCAAACTATGGGAAGAGCCTAGATGTCCATCAACAGATGAATGGATAAAGACCTGTGAGATATATATATATATATATAAAACAGCCATCAAAAAGAAATGAAATCTTGCCATTTGCAATGATGTGGATGGAACTAGAGGATATTATGCTAAGTGAAATAAGTCAATCAGAGAAAGACAATTATCATATGATCTCACTAATATGAGGAATTTGAGAAAAAAGACAGAGGGTCATAAGCATAGGGAGGTAAGAAACAGAACAAAATCAGAGAGAGTGACAAACCTTAAGAGACTCTTCATCTCAGAAAACCAACTGAGCATTGCTGGAGTGGAGAGGGTGGGGCAAGATGGGGGCAGGGTCATGGACATTGGGGAAGGTATGTGCTATGGGGAGTGCTGTGAATTGTGTAAGGCTGAAGAATCACAGACTTGTACCCCTGAAATAATACATTATATGTTAATTTAAAAAAAAGAAAAAGAAAACATGCAAAACACATGTAATGGAAAAATTAGAAGGAGAAGAAAGAAAGGAACAGAAGAAATCTTTGAAACAATAAATGAGTATTTCCCCAAGTTACTATCAGATACCAAACCAAAGTTCTAGGATACTTGGAGACACCAAGCAGGCAAAATGTCAAACAACAACAACAACAAAAGTCCAAAAACATAAAATAAAACAAAACAAAAAAACAGGGCCTGACATATTATATTCAAACTACAGAAAATCAAAGATAAAGAACAAATTCTGAACTAAGCTAGAAAAACAAAACATCTTATAGAGGAACAAAGGTGAGAATTATATCCAACTTCTCCTAGGAAGCCAGGCAAGAAAAAGAGAATGAAGTAAATTTTTAAAATTTTTTTTAATTAAGTTCTATTAACCAACATAGAATACATCATTAGTGCTTTTTTTATTTCTTTTTTTCTTTTTTAAATTTTTTTAAAGGATTTTATTTATTTATTTGACAGAGACAGAGCAGAGAGATAGGCAGAGACAGAGGGGGAAGCAGGCTCCCTGCTGAGCAGAGAGCCCAATTGGGGCTTGATCCCAGGACCCTGAGACCATGACCTGAGCCAAAGGCAGTGGCTTAACCCACTGAGTCACCCAGGAGCCCCAGTTCTTTTTTTTTTTTATGTTAAGTTAGTCACCATACAGTACATCATTAGTTTTTGATGTAATGTCCCATGATTCATTGTTTGTATATAACACCCAGTGCTCCATACAATATGTGCCCTCCTTAATACCCATCACTGGGCTAACCCATCATCCCTTCCCTCTAAAACCCTCAGTTTGTTTCTAATCACCATACAGTACATCATTAGTTTTTTATGTAGTGGTCAATGATTAATTAGTTGCTTATAACATCCAGTTTTAAATGTTAAGAGGGAAAAAACCTACAACCTAGAATTCTATATCCTATGAACTTACCCTTTAAAAGTGAAAGAGAAATAAAAGACTTTCTCAAGCAAACAAAAATTGAGGTCAGTTGATTCCAGTGGACTTGCCTTGCAAGAAATGTTAAGAGTTTTTCAGGAATAAGGAAATAATGTAACAAGAAACTCGGATGTACATAAAGGAAGAAAGAGTATTGGAGAATAAATAAGTAAAGGAAAAATAATAGATTTTATTTTCTTCTTAATTGATCTAACAGATAACAGTTTATTCAAAATAATAAAACAATGACATATTCTTTAGGTATATACTTATATGCTTTCTCTATATTATATATGTACTATATAAATATATCAGATATATTTATATATTATATAAATATTTAACCTAAATATAAATATATACAATATAGAAATACATTTATATGTGTTTAATTAGATAGAGTATATTTATATACAATTGAAATGAGTGACATCAATAATACAAGAAATGTCCAAAATCTATTAGTGGTCACTAATAAAACCAAATATTGGCAATGCTGTGAAGCAGCATGGACTCAATGATTACCAGTGGAATTGAAAAATGCTACAGCAACTTTGGAAGACAGGTTGGCAGTTTCTTAATATACTAAACATACTCTTACAATATAATAATCAACAGCATTGCTTGGTATTTACCTAGTGGGATTGAAGATGTATGTCTTCATGAAAACCTGCACCCAGATGTTTGTAACAACTTTATTCATGTTTATTCAATGCAATGGCAACATTGTCAACACCTGGAAGCAACCAAGATGCCCTTCAGTAGGTAAATGGCCAGATAAACGGAGGTAAATCCAGACACTGGAATATTATTCAGAGCTAAAGTCAATGAGCTATCAAGCCATGAAAAGACTAAGAGGAAACTGAAATACCTATTACAAAGTGAAAAAAAAAAAAAAAAAACCTTTGGAAGGCTACATACTGTGCAATTCTAACTGTGATATTATGCAAAAGGCAGAAACTGTGGAGACATTAAAAAGATTAGTGGTTTTCATGGTTTAGTGGCAAGCGAGGATGAATAGACAGAACACAGAGGAATTTTGGGGCAGTGGACCTATGCTATATAATACTTTAGTTGTGGATATGTGTTATTATACTTTTGTTCAAACTTATAGAATGTACCACCAAGAATGAGCCCTGTGTGAACTATGGACTTTGGGTGATAATTATGTGTCAGTGCAGGTTCATCACTTATAATAAATGTAAAAGTCTGGTGGGGATGTTGATAATGAGATACAGGCTATGCACAGGTGGGGTCAGGAGGGATTTGGGAAATCTTTTACTTTCCTCTCAAGGTTGCTGTCAACATAAAACTGCCCTTAAAAAAAAGGGTCTTAAATTTAAAAAAAAAAAACTTTTTATAATAAATGGATGTTTAATTTTATCACATACATTGCACAACCTTATGTTTTTTTCTCCTTCAAACCCAGAATGGAGTCAATTACATTAACTGGTTTTAATTACACTCTTTTCAATTACACCCTTTTGTTGCCATCTCTTTCCTGCCATGTCTCAATACTTCTCTAGCACTTGTCATGAGTCAGATCTGTTATTCCCTGTCTTTTGAGTTCTTCCCAAGTGTTCCCCCCTCCCTTCCAATTTCTTTCACTTTTTCCTCACCTTAGATTCCCACTTTTCTTTCTCCTAAGAACTGGTTCTCTTCTCCCTTAACTAGACATAATATGGAAATGTGAAAACCAGTGTTTCTCAGAATGTTTTGGAACTTTTTTTGCAATAATTGCAAGGAACACAGAATGGATTCAAGTTTGTTTCCACCTGTCTAAGACTGCTCTAATTTTAATCACTCTACTCATTTCTTCTATCTGTTCATGTTGTGGGATAAGATTCCCTTTATCTAAAGTATTCTGGTACAGACATGAAATCCTTGACTTCAAGTAATTATTTATCATTTATATATTCTTATATTCTCTGATCCTCATTTTCTGAAACAAATTTTACCCATTCATTTTTGCCTCTATTTTAAAATTTAACAACCCCAAATGGAAACATAGAGTTTCCTTCTTAGCCTGTGTGCTAGAAACATTAGAAATATCAAAGGAGAAAAAATAATTACACATTAACAAATATAAGGCCCAAAAAATAAGAATTCAGGGAGACAATAAAAATACAAACCTAGAAACTGAAGGAAACACTGCATTTTGTCTAGTCACACAAGTTCAGTTTCACTCCATTCCAGGGCCCCCAGTATTACCCTGGACTCAGCTAGACAACTAGTCAGTACACGAATGGCATAAGGTAAATATGAAGGTTTGCTGGATAATATACAAATTTATCACTGCTACTAGGACAAATTAGAAAACATTTTATGAGTGGCTAAAGAGCCTCCTTGTCAATATTGAAATACAGCTTTACATTTTGCTGAAAATGCTACAGCATCATACTTACCAGATATGATGATATTGATAGAGATCACTACTCTCAAAGTTGAAATCCTCCCCAGAGTATGCATTTGGAGTGGTTAGCCACCAAGTAGCCAAGGACAGGAAATGTCACTGAGTTTTGTTGAGCAATGAAGCAATGAAGCAATGAAGCAAAAAAGCCAATACTTAAGATCATTGGTTCTCCCACAGTACTGAAGTGACGCAATAAATTATATAGCAATTTACTTAGAAAGCAGCATTTTAGGATGCATAAATTACATATGGTAAAATGCAAAAATATTTAGTGTACAGATTGATGAGTTTTTATATATGAATGAACTCAGATAATGACTTCCAAAACCAAGGTAAGACCATTTCCACTATTCAAGAAATTTCCTTCACGCTATTTCTCTGTCAATAGCCCTTCTCCAGAGAGAAATAATACTCTGACATCTATCACCATTTTGCCAGTTTTTTAATTCCATATAAATGAAATTATTTACATAGTTCATTTTTGTAATACTGTGTAGTGGTTTTCTAATCTGATCATGCCATAATTTTTTCAGCCATTTTGCTGTGTACTTGGATTTTCTATTTTAAGACTAACACGAATAAATCTTCTATGAACATTCCTGTTTTGTACATATCTTTTAATCTACTTATGAATTTGTTTCTTGCATGTATACTAGGAATAAAATCAGAGAATCACATGATAGGAGTAATGTGTGGCTTTAATAAATACTTCCCGTTATGAGTTGACTTTTGTCCTCTCAAAATTCATATGTTGAAATTCTAACCCTCAGTACCCCAGAATGTGACCTTATTTTGAACAGGATCATTGCAGATGTAATTAGTCACCATAAGGCCACTCTAGAGTCAGGTGGGCCCTAATCCAATGACTGGTATCATTATAAAAACAGGGAAATTGGACACAGATACATGCAAAGGGAGAATGCCATATAAAGATAAAGAGAGAGATCAAGGCAGACCCTGTGCAACCCAGTGAACTCCAAAGATTTCCAGCAAACCACCAGAAGGTAAGAGAAAAGCAAGGAACATATTTACATTGTATCCTCACATGGTAGAAGGGAAGAGCTAACTCTCTAGGATTTCCTTTATAAGGGCATTCATCCCTTTCATGAAGGCTCTGCTGTTATGATCTAATAAGCTCCAAAAGACTACAACTCCAAATACTGCCTTTTAGAAAAACTGGTTTCAATATATAAATTTGGATGAGGGGGACACAAATATTCAGTCTACTGTAGACTGAAAACACAACTTAAGGGTGGACCCTGGAAAGTGTGGCTCAGCTGGCCTATCACTCCCGCTGCTCCAAGGTGACTGCCACCTGGGCTAGTAACTAGCCAGTGGAGTTTAGCCATTGAGGACTGTTGTTTGTTTTTTACTAACCTTCCAAAACCAAGAAAATCTGTGTAAGGAGAGACATGGAAACCACCAGCAGACACAGCAGCAAGCTGCAGGGTTAAAGCTCCCACTTACCAACAGGCAACAGTTCCTTCTCAAGCTCTTCTCCTGGTGGTTTGGAGTAAATTAGTAAGCCAAGAGCAGACCCCAAGAAGCTATGCAAGAGTAAGGAGTCCTAGCGATGCTTTCTTGCTCACAGTGCCAAATGTTTTATAAAAGATTGAAAGTTTTGTTCTTTTGTTGTTTTTGTTTGTTTGTTTGTTTGTTTTTTGATGGTGGGACTCAACAAATGACACTCGGAATAAATGAAAAGCAGACTCTGTGACAATTCCAAATGAAATAAGGCTGCCATACAGGGTCATACAGAAAATAAACTGGGCTCAGAGTATCAGTGAGAACTGTAGGGAGAAGCTTATGTATGGCAGTAGAGCAGAGTTCACTAGATTCCCTGAGTTCCCATGCATTGGTCAGTTTGAGTAATTTCATGGGATCAGGGCACAAGTGTGGTCCCTAGTTGTCTGGTGTCGGTCCTGGCAATCAGGGCAGGTGCCTGGTGTCCCAGAATGGGAGCTCTAATAAGGAAGTGGTTGAGAGGTGGACTTAATCAAGTGTTCAAAAAGAAGAACTGACAGACCTCAAACTAGGGGCTCAAACCAAATAAAAATAGCATTTAAAAAAAACTGTATCAAATACTTCTTAGAAAGAACCAACCCTGCTAATGCCATGATCTTGGACTTCTAGCCCTCAGAACTGTGATACAGAATTTTTTGTTGCTTAAGCCACTTAGTTTGTGGTACTTTGTTAAGGCAACCCTAGAAAACTAATACACTTCCAAGCTAATAGTGCCATTTTCATTCTTACCATTGCAGAGAGCCAGTTACACACATACTCACCATCTCCCAAGATAATTTGCCACATCTTACATCTCAGCTCAGATTAGCCACAATTCAAGTGGTCAACAGCATTTGTGGCTGCCAACTAACATATTGGACACCATCATTCTAGAACATTAATTGTTTTTATGGTCAATACAATGCTCTAAAGTTTTCTGATAAAATTATTTCTTAAAGAAACAAATATGTTTAATCTTTTCTCAGAACTAGAAATTATTTTGACATACAATTTTATGTATACATATTTTTATGTACATATTTTATGTACAATTTTATGCATGCATAACATACATAACATACAATTTTAAATGGTAGAGATACAGTTTATAACACAGCCATAAAAACATACATAAATTTTCAATTATCCTGAAATTATTTACACAAGTTTTGTAGTAGAACTTAAATGAGTTGATACATGATTTTGGTAGGAAACATAGAAAAAAAATTCAGAAGAAGAAGAAAGAGGAAGAGGGGGAGGAAGGAAGAAAGAAAATCCCATTCTCTTTTAGTTTCCTTAAATTTTTTGTTTTGGTTTTGGTTTTGTTTTGTTTGGATTTTTGTTTGGTTTGGTTTGGTTTTAGTACAGGTAACTAAAGAGCTTTTAGAAGAATTTGACAATATTCAACAACAAATTGTCTTTGTCTGGTAGGTCTGCTAGGCAAAATATCACAACCTTAGTGACTTCAGAGGAATTTATTATCTCAGTACTCTGGAGGATAGATGTCCAAGATCAAAGAACCAGCAAGGATCTGATTGGGGCATCTCTTCCTGGCTGAAAGAAATCTGCCTTCTACGTCATGTTTTCAGATGGCTTTCTTCTGTGTATGTGTGAGAGATACCTCTCACCTCTTTTCTTCTTCCTTTAAGAATAACAGTTTATTCCTTTAAGAATAACAGTTACAGGGACAGTTAAGCAACTGTCTTCAGTTCAGGTTATGATCCCAGGGTCCTGGGATAGAACCTCACATCAGGCTCCCTGCTCAGCGGGGATTCTGCTTATCCCTGCTTATCCCTCTCTCTCTGCCCCTTCCCCCCACTCATGCTCTCTCTCTTACTCTCTCTCTCAAACAAATAAATAAAATATTTTAAAAAATAAAGAATAACAGGTACATTAGGTTAGGGCCCCATCCTTATGACTTCATTAAAGACCCTACTTCCTAATATAGTCACATTGGGGATAGAACTTCAACATATCTATTGGCATAACACAACTTTGTGATAAAAACTCTAAAAAAATAGCAATATGGGAAAGTTTTCCATTTTGATAAAGAGCATCTATAAAAGCCTACAGCTCGCACTATAAATAATTATGGAAGACTGAATGTTTCCCACCTAAAAGAGTGAATGAGGGAAGGATGCCTAGTCTCACAACTCTTATTCAACAGTGTTGAAAGTTCTAGCCAGTGCAATATGGCAAGAAAACTAAATAAAGGGAACACAGATGAGAAAGAAAAAAGGAAAACTGTTCCTATTTGAAGATGACGTGAGAGAACTGTTTTGTATTTTAATCAATGTCAATATCCTAGTTGTATTGTTATAAATACCTAGATGTAAAAACTATAGTTTTGCAAAATGTTATTGTTGTAGAAAACTGGATTAAAAGCACATAAGATCTATAGATTATTTCTCACAACTACTTGTGAATCTACAATCATCTCAAAAAATTTTAAAGTGAAAATTTTAATTTATTTATTTTTATTTGGGGGGATTCTTTTTTTTTTAATGTTATGTTAGTCACTGTACAGTACATCATTAGTTTTTGATGTAGAGTTCCATGATTCATTGTTTGTGTATAACACCCAGTATTCTATGCAATATGTGCCCTCCTTAATACCTATACCAGGCTAATCCATCCCCCCACCCTTCTCCCTTCTAAAACCCTGTTTCCCAGAGTCCATAGTCCTTCATGGTTCATCTCCCTCTTTCATTCATCTGCTTCATTTTTCCCTTCATGCTCCTAACATCCTTCATGCTATTCCTTATGTTCCACAAATAAGTGAAACCATATGATAATCAACTTTCTCTGTTTGACTTATTTCACTTAGCATAATGTTCATAGCAGCAATTTCCACAATAACCAAACTATGGAAAGAGCTGAGATGCCCTTCAACAGACAAATGGATAAAGATGTGGTCCATATATACAATGGAATATTACTCAGCCATTAGAAAGGATGAATACCCAACTTTTGCATCAACATGGATAAAAGTGGAAACTTTTATTATTTTTTTTTTAAGATTTTATTTATTTAGTTGACAGAGAAAGATCACAAGCAGGCAGAGAGGCAGACAGAGAGAGAGGAGGAAGCAGGCTCCCTGCTGAGCAGAGAGCCCAATGCGGGGCTCGATCCCAGGACCCTGAGATCATGACCTGAGCCGAAGGCAGAGGCTTAACCCACTGAGCCACCCAGGCGCCCCAAAAGTGGAAACTTTTAAAAAGATTCCATTCTCGTATTTGTAAGATTGCTTAAACAATTTCCCTTCAGTTGTTACAAGAAACTAAAATGCACCTTTTTGTAGCAAATATGCATAATTTAAATTTTACCAGTTTAACCATTTTAAACTGTACAATTCAGTAGCCTTTAGTCCATTCACAATGTAAAGAAGCCATCACCACTACCAAGTTCCAGAGGATTTTTGTCACCCTAAAGGAAACTGTAGTCATCAGTACTAATCCCATACCACCTGGCAATCACTAATCTTTCTGTCTCTATGGATTTGCCTATTATAGATATTTCAGATAAATGGAATCCTAATATGTAGCATTTTGTG